AGCAACCTACACGGCGGTGGCTGCGCGCGCATACGGCGCAGCTGCAGCTGCGGCACAACCGGTCGCAGGATATGCCGCAGTCGCGGGGTAAGTGCACCACATTTTCACCCGAGAAACCCTCGTGTATGTACTCTCACTCACTACGAATCCTCCAGGACCTCTCTTTCTCTTCCTCGCTCCTTCTTTCTCCTTCCCTCTTATTCGATATACAGAACGTATCCCAGATTTAGTGAGCCAACTTCCGCCTACGGATTATTTAACAAAACCGGAGCCAATTTTTTTTTGCGAAAGAGCACGTGTATAACTTTTATATTTAATTATATACCTACCACTGATCCTATTTAATTAAATATTCGTTCAAACGAAATACGTGCAAAATTCAGTGAAGAATTGCTCCGAATTGATTAAATGTGGCTCGATAAATTTAGAAATTTCTCGTACGATGCCAAAGATCTCTAAAGAGAAGAAAACTTTTCGAACGTGTTCCCTTTATTTCTCTTAAAGAAAGGGAGCTTTGCAACTTTTCTTCGCGAACGTGCTTTTTTTATAGGATCTCAGGGTTTTTTTTTAATGATGCTTCATTTATTTGGTATAAATTATTTATAACTTGTTATTTGACGCTTATTATATTGCTATATTATGTTTGGAGCACTATATAACGTTGTATTATTATATTATAATATATTTCTCTCTTATATGTACTTGCAAATTAATTAATGTATGTATATTAATATATATTAGTAATTCATATATTATTGCAATAATTATGTAATGTACAATTTGAAAAATACTTATGCAATTAGGAATATATACAATTTAATAAATTAGAATTTATCATTATTAGATGGAATGTTCATATTTTTTGGTACAAGCATATCATAAGCTTATTATTCTTTAACAACTCATTTGGTTTATTCGAAATTATGACATGTTATCTTCATTATCGATATGAAGAACATGATTCTCCCATCATAGTTGTGGTCTGTATGCCGTCTCGTAGTGGCATTCAGATACACATGTATAGATTGAGGGACGCTTTGAAGTCACTGGCTCGACCCCATTACGAGAGTGAGGTCAGAATGCATATCATGTATTGAACATCGCAATGAATTACCTTCATCTCACTATCCTTGATGATGTTCATTATCAACATCCTCCTTTATATTTGCCAGCAACCTCCACGTTTTCCTCATCCCTCTTTTAGAGCGTCACAAAATACTAATTCTCCAAGTGGAGAGTTATCATTTATTAACAAAATTATAACACAAAGAGTCCGTTCCTTACAGCAAATCCCGACGTCGCGGACGACCTGTTAGGAGTCGCAGATTTGTTTCCGAAATTCAGACCCGTCCTGATAGTCCCATCGAAAGTCCAAACCATTCCCCGAGAAGCACCACTCCCCAAGAAATGTTAAAGCGCGCTTAATGCACTTCGCGTCGGTATCTTGCATCCAACACAGGAGGAATATCAAGTACAAATATGAATATTAGAATCGATTTCATACCTGACGCATTTCATACGTACGTACGTAGCTTCCATTTCTCACTCTGAGTGAAATGTTTGGTATGTAAAACCATTTATATATATTTTTTATATAATATAACTAAAAAAAGCTTTCTTACTTTTTTATTAAAAAATTGTGTTGTTCTTTAATCAAAATTTGATTACTCTAACTAAATTTTAATTAGAATACAATTTTTTAATGAAAAAGTAATAGTTACATATCAACAAAATAAATGGTTATACGTTCCAAATATTTCTCTCGGTGCAGAGTTTAGCTACGAGCAATTTTGTTAAAATTCTATATACAAGAAAGAATGATATACATACTATCCTACTTTAACTTATACTATCTCACACTATGATTTTAATTGAAGTTACTAACAAGGAAAAACGATCATTTTGTTGAAATATTAAAAAATTTAGTTTGATGCAGATCTGAAAATAATTTTGTTGGACTAGCAAAATTACGTAGGATATATTCAAGTACATATAATAATTAATAAGCAATGCTGCAAAAAGTTTTGACCTTCTAACAAATTTGTGCCATGCGTTCTACACAATTATTTTAATGGTTTAACAAAATTATTGTGAAATTTGTATATTTACATGAAAGTTTTATCAAAATAATTCGAGTGGTTTTCGAAATTTTTGAAGAATAAATGAGAACTTTTTCCTTTAATTTGAATACCTTTGAAACTAAGCTGTTTTGGACATGTGAATTTTTCGTTTTGATTTAATGTGAGGAATTATCCCTTAAAATCTTTTAGAGTATTTAACTACCATCTTGTATACTTTTCTTTCTCATATAAGGATTTTGATAAAATCGCTCGTGGCCAGACTCTGGATCTCTATACGTTTTGATTTCATACTTCCTCTTTCAATCTTCCTCACGGAAAACAGTGAGAGAAATCGGAAGAATAAAATGCGCGTATGAAATCGTTCGACTTCAGCGAATCGGAAAATCCTATCGATATTAGCAATCACTTTTTTATTGTTCTTCCAGCTACGGGCGTGAATACGCCGATCCCTACCTCGGACATGGCATCGGACCTGTGGCGGGTTACGGGGTAAGAAAGAGCTTCGATTACGAAGTGTACTTTTACGATTTCATTTAACGGTAGTGCCGTTAAATCGCGCACATAGATCTCTCGCGCGCGTACCACCGCCGTATGAAAGGAGAATGGAGCACCCCGTTATTACGCCATAAATAACAAGCGTTAGGAAAGACCACCTCGGCCGTGGCGCGTTTCACTCACATATGAATTATTAATGCCAGGAATTTTCAACTTACGGGAACTGTGTCGTGACGAAAGTTAATGGCTTGTGCTCCCATCGCACGCATTTATTCTCAAATGCGACTATTCGGACCTCCGCGCCATGCCGGTCTCAGTTTGCTCGGTGAACGCGAACCGTACGTATTGTGTAAACGACAGGATGGTCAAACGAAATGGGTATACGCCGTGCTCGTGAAGGAGTTTAATCATTCCCGACAAACTCAATTTAACGGCGAAAATTAAATAAGTTTTTAGCTCGAGAGAGAGAGATATCTCGTTGGTTTTCCGAATAGATGGTCCTGACGTTACACCGCAACGTTGCAGCCGTAAATTGAAATCTTATATAAAACACCGCTTACTCTGTTTGCCGTTTATCTTCGGACGGTGCATTTTTCAGCCCTCGAAATAAGATCTTGAGACAAACGGTTGCGTTCAACGCTAAATGCACCACGGTTTATACGTTAATTTACGCTGTGTATCACACCAAGATAGTATCTTATGAATTTTTATTCTTGCAGGCAACTGTATACAGAGGTGGCTACAATAGGTTCACGCCGTACTAAATGGATCATTAGTAGAACCCAAGAGCCTTCCAAGTTATACTCAGCAGAACATGACCAGACACGAGTCGACACAATCATCACCGTCATTTTTGTCATCATCGAGATCACCCACGAGACGACGAGCCTGGACCCTCCCACGCATGCTGACTCGCTGGTTTTACCTTCCAACTTTGTGACTCAAGGTCATCGTGAAGATGCGAAATCCTCGACACCGAAATCGGAACAGAACTGTTATTAACGTGAAAAGCACCGTCGTGCTTTTCTACGTCAAATCTTTAAATAGTACCTTCGAAAATATATAAGCGATAATTGAAATAGGCGAGAAAAATTTGTCTGTAAAATGCAACGGCAGCGTCGAGGTCGGCGCATCAAAGTATCGAGTCGTGTTCGGCCAGAAATCGCCTTTAAAGTTGCCTCTAAAGTCGCTTCCCTGCCAGCAGCTATTCGCAGGGGGGTGCCTTCTACTTGATTCCGTTTCCATCTGATCAATCGGTCCGAGCAAATTGTACTGAATTCCAAACATCAAAATTGATATAAAACTAATGGTAATTGCTTCTTACACTTTTGAATTTTACTCTGCACAAAATTATTTTCGATAATACCATCACGTTTCTCTGTATTTGTCATATATTCTTCTTTAATATGATATTAAGCGTTTCAATCTTGCGAACAATTTTATGTGTCACTAAATGGAATATGATAATAGTTATATTTCTTTCTCTCTCTTGTTTATAGTTTCTATAAAACACATTCATGTTGTGATATTATGTCCGATACGATGCATGATTCATGCAGGTTTGCCTATTTACTGAAATACTTGTAATATAGTTGTACATTTGTTGTAATTATTTCTATTTAAGTCAACATTGCACATTACGGTTTGCATTCATAGTCTAAATTAGCAGATAGTGTTAATAATTCGAAGGGACTGCCGAATCGCGCGCGCGAAGAAGCCCTAAACAATTCGCACAAATATTATAGGACAGTTTTACGCACATGATTTATTTAGATGAAAATAAAATAAGCAAATACGCGATTATTGAATCATTACCGTAAAATGATATAATATACTTTGCTACAGTATAAGATATAATTTCTTTGCGAGAAATTGACGAATGGCAGCGAGGCATTGACGATTTCAGTCGACACGAACCGACACAAGGTGATCCGAAAAAGCGAGATCTTTAGGTAGCTAGTTAAAAAAAAAAGAAAATCGACCTAGAAAAAAATAAAGGCATCCATGTGACCGGTAGGGTTTCTATGCCAAATATATGTGTATGCGCTTTCGCGCGTGTGTGTATGCGTAGGTTTGCGAACCAAAACTGTTCTCAGTAAACTTAAAAGAGTAGCGGAAATGGAAGAAGACAGAGACAAGAACCGCTTAGACCTCTGAAACAGTATGCCGGATTTTAATTGCATAGAGTTTAATCGAATTGATTTTTTTTAATTACAATAGCGCATTTTGATTTCCATTTGTCTCCTACAATTCAATCAATGTCTCGTTCCTGAAATCTCATTCTGAAAAGTTTGAACTATCTCATGTCTAATTGTTTTTATAATTTTGTCAAAACATGAACTGAATGCATCGTGTATCAAATAATAATAGAAGGATCCGCAGAAGAAAGACTGCAAAGATCCGTTTTAATTTTTATTCTTTAGAATTGAATTTGACACCTGTAGACTCAATTCCACGTTATGTTGTTATTCGAAAAGTTTCGCACAACAATTTTATCGCATCCTTTCACGTATCATGTAAGAATAGAACGGCAAATACGGTTATATTGTCTTATCAATGCCTCTTCCCTCTTTTTCGAGAAAAACCTGACATTGAGTTTGTCACGCCCCCCCCCTAGTATGTACTACTTATTTATTTAGTTAAGTGACTGAACAGACATGACAATTTTCTTTTTTTACTACAGTAAACGTTAAACAGAGTTCACCTCATAATCGCTAAGCGCAGAATCTCAACGCCAATGAACGAGAGCATAGTTATAGTACATAAACAAAGATAGACTTGTAGAATACGTTTTTTGGCGTGAACCGATCTTGCAGGGCGTATCACGAATGCACTATCCGCACGAAGCTCTATCCGCTACGCTAAAAGGAAAGAAGATCCGTTACGCTCAGGTCACTATTAACCGGCAAAAATCAATATTGTACAAACATCTCTAGTATGAACGTTGCATACTTAGCAGGTCGTTTCGGTTCCTCGATGTCGAAGTGACGCGCGTGCGTGCTTGTAAAACGAACTCGTCTTCATGTCACAAAGGATGATTAGGTCCAGCTAAATAAAATGTCGACCCAGTTGTAACGAAATACATCGAGTAATCGAAAACGCCGATACGGATAGACGTTCAATAATGTGAATACCACTTTTCTTTCTTTTTCCTTTCCGAACTATTTAGTTACGATGTACGGTAAACGATTGTATCTGGATATAAAAATGTATATGAGGTAATTTTTGTATTTACATTTAACGTTTTTTAGAAATTTTTTGTTGAACACGTGTCTTTATATAAATATATTTTTCGTTCTCTTGGGGAATTAGTTTATTTATAGATTATTATTTTTATGATCAATCGCTGTCCATCTTGGTTTCTATTCAAATCGGCGTTCTCGGTCACTAGATTTTTTTCTTGTGACACTGCTTCCTGATCGAGTAGATATACCGGTGCGCTATATAGAAAGTAAAAGATGCTCTATTTGAGAGTAACGCGAAATGGAAAAAATGGTACGCACACTGAGTCGAATGAGTGATATCTCTGTTAAATTAATAGTTAAGTGAGGATTTATCGTATATATTATACGTAAGAGTATAAGATACGTTGCGCCACAATACAAGAATAAGAAGGCGTGTAATGCGAACTGATACAACTGAAAAGCGGAGAGTAAAAAGGAAAAGAAAAAGGAGGAAGGGAGGAGCAGGAAAATAAGAAGTGTGAAATAGCCAAATATGACAAAGATGTTTTAGAAAGTACGGCAAGTAGTTTGGCCGTCGTTACGTTTTAATCTAATCTTCAACTAGGATTATAGGCTAAGCTCTAGAACTCGAGGGCGCTCGAGGCAGGATGACAATTTTCTCTTTTTTTTTCCTCTCGCGAACGTCGTGTACATGTACATAGATCAACATAGATTTTTCGAGCACAAAGATCGTGGAGGAGCGTGCCGAGAAACACACTATAATTTACTAAATTAAATTTAGAAAGTACTTTAAACGAGCAAGCAGAAGCCCACTCAGACATACTCATGATTCTCGTAACGTTAATGAAGTAGATTAATTAATTGATTACACAGTAAATACGTAAAACCGGGACGGATTTTGATTTGGGGGGAACGTGATGTGCATGCTCGTCGTACGTGACGGTTGTCGAATTGAGGGTCGCGAAAATCGTCGGTTTCTCGGTAGATGCACACATCCCCTTCCGCGTAAAAGATAATAGCACAAGAAACCGTACGCGGGTTCGGAGGAGAAAAAAAGAAATCGTACGAATACGCGTTTGTGGAAATAGAGATTTTTCGCAGCCGCACCTCAACGCGGGTGAAAGCAAGCACACAAGAGAAAGAGAGACTCTGCGAGGTTTATCTCTCCCTGTATATTGTACACTGTAATTACAATTTATACTTACTCGTAATCGATAATTTTATCGATAGGCTATTAATATTAGTGGCTAGCGTAATAAGTCAAGCTCAAATTAGCGAGACGGGAGAGGCGCGAGATACTTTTTTTCCCCTCGCGGTTTCGTCGCGTCCCACTTCGTCATAAATGCACAACTTCTTTTCCTCGATTGTACCCTTCTTTATGCGCGTTATCGTTGCGAGCAGGCCTATCGTACAAGATGTTCATAGAATCTAGAGGCTAGATCAGCTCTCTCTCTCTCTCTCTCTCTCTCTCTCTCTCTCTCTCTTTCTCTCTCCCTCCTTCCTCAACCTTCTCCCACCCTCTCACGTCTCTATTCTTTATTTTTCTCCTTTTGAATATTGAAGGATGTCTCGTTAATGGATTTTGTTTCCAACCATTTGCTTTCTATCGGGAAAAGGAGTTACGGAAGGATAATGAGATTCTTTCGGCTGTTAAAAATAAACAAAGAACGCGACATATCTAGATGATAATATAATTTACGAGGAAGTGCAACACCACTTTTGCCAAATTTCTGCACGTTTATGTATCTTCAGATCCCGAATTTCCCTCCCTCTCTCTTTACCGTAATTTCAGTCTTCGATCTTCGTCGAGCGTACCTTCCTTCTCGGATTAAAAGGGTCGTTTCTGTGCACAAACTGATCCATATCTTTCAATTTTAAATGGTCCATTTAAAAAAATACGGATTAGAGACGTGCATAGAGAGGATCTCTTTTATCCTGACGAACAAACGACGGACGCAGGCGAAGCGAATTCTCGAGCCTGAATTCTCAACTCCGCCGATGATTAATTTTTACCCTCGTCGATGATGAGACCCAGAGCTAGTGGAATCGCGCAGTGTAACATAACTCAATGATACGCACCGTACATTATACGTATAATGATTAATTAACGATAAATACCGTAAAGGGATTTTTAAATGAATCTAGATGAATACATGACTACATAATGACACATCTTACAAGCAACATATCCTAGGTATTTGAGCAGGGCGCTGCCGGAGTATCCCTCCCGTTTTTGTCGTACGATTGTACGATCGACACGAGGAAGAGCATATAATTTGACCGACGTCTCGAAACCGAAAACTGTTTCGAGCGGACGCGGCAGCGCCGTGCCATTCTTTTCGAATTATTGCAAAAAAAAATTAATGAAGGATGTTCCATGACATTAGGACGTTATTATTAATGATATTTCTAGCAACGCGTGCGTGCAAAGTTTAATGTATCTGTATATGAAACATGATGCGTGCCTGCGTATATATGCTGTGTGTGCGTGTGTATGTGTGCGTGCGTGACGGATGAGTGAGAAACTCATACCCTTTCTCCACAAATCGGTGAAATCAAGAGCACGAATTAATTAATCGTTGTAAGGTAGCACGAAAACAACAAAATGACAAATGAAGAAGAAATGCCCAGTGATATTTGGATCGCTGAGAAAAACCGAAACAGCTAAAATTGCCACCTGTTTTTTCCGCTTCTCTCGCAAATGTAAAAAAAAAGAAAAGAAATCCACAAAGAGAAACGCCGTTGATCTTCTGTGTCTCCTTGCGGATTTCCTCCTCGAACCGCGCATAAGCGATTTGTGCGAGCCGACAGTTCAACGCAATAGCGAGCTCGCAAGAGAAATTAATGGAAATCGGTAAAAGAGTAAAAAAAGAAAAGAGGTATAAGAGAGGAAGAATATACGGTCAACTCGATGAACTTTATTTGCAAAATATTGATAGGAATATAAGGTGTGACTCGTGACACCTTTATCATTGTCTGATTTGATGATATTTTGTAAGTCTGGACCAGTTGTTAGGTTCTTATTAATCTCATAGCAACTTCTTATGGCGTATTTTCTCTGTATATTGTCAATGTTTATTATTAAATATTTTTCAAATAAACCGATGTCTCTTTTTTTCGCACCCTGTCTTTATACCCTCACAAATTTCGCAAAGATATAAAGTTCACTAATACGCTTTTATAGTTAGAATCCGTTAGAAGCTTGTATTACATTTAAATTTTATTTTTAACAAACCAGATATTTTGCGAGGTATAAAAATATTATTCAAATTATAGTTACGTCAGTTTTTGAGAATCTTCTTTTTTGAAATCTGACATTTTAATAGACGAACTTCATATTTGCACGCTGTCTTTGTAATATTTCGTGTCATATTTAAACTAAGAAACGGAATAAGAAAAATAATGTACATATATACATAGTACGGATTTAAATATTGATTTTAAAAACTCGTAAATGTTAGAATATAATGAGATTGAAATATCGATAATAATGCGATTAAATAAAGCTGACAAGTGGCATCATGAAAAATGTAATCTAAATAGCAAGACTACTTTCAAGATTTGTTTTCTTTAACAAAATAGTCGTAATGCTGCGTGTGTTAATGTTTCTATTGCATTTTAGTACCATATCTGACAATGAAGCATCAGAATAATGTAAAATATAAGTGAATGAGAAAGAGCTAATAAACTGTTTGCAAAGAATTTTTTTCTTTAAGTATTATTTTATGTATATATGCAAAAAATTCGAGAATGTTGGAACAAACGGAATTTATGAAATAACGACGAAAGAATTAGTGAATCTCGCAAAATTAGAAAGCCGAAACGTCATTTTAGCAAAATATGTAATAATTCTTTTTTATGATATTCTATACGTGATATTCTTCTTAACGCATTTTGGCAAAATATCCAACAGCAAACAATGTTAGATTGATGTTGCATAATGTATTACAAATTATTACAAATGAATAAAAAAGGTGACGAGATGAGCTTATCGACGTTAGAGGTTAGATACTAGTGAGAAAATTCAAATTGTTACATAAATACACATATTTTCTAAAAATTATTTAGCAAATTAATTAACAATATATATTTCGGTTTTTCACCGAAAACAAACAGATAATTTCAATTTGTTAAATAATTTTATCTCAGTGTAAAAAGATTGTAACCGCGTTTTGCATTTGCGTAAGTTATTTAAAGAAACATTATCTGTACATATGTTAATAATTAAATAAATAGAACATTTTAACACTAGATTATAATTAAACAATAATGAGAATTTAATTTTGCACTCAGAGACACTTAAAGGTCATTAAAATTAATAATATTGAAAGATAAATTCAGATGGTAAAGTAGGGGCAAGATTCAAGTTTTATCTTCGACAATATTATATCCTCGAAAATCACGGAAAAATCGCCTCAAATATTAGCAAAGCAGGACAAGTGAGGAGGTATTGTTAGAGGTATTCTAGGGCGAGTTTTTGGCGTCAGAGATTCCCGAGAAAATTACTGCTGCTTATTAGAAAAACATGTTGAGCGAAGAGGTCGCAGGAGGTATTCTAGGGTCGCCACGGCTATCCCACTCTCGTAGGCGTCACCGATACCGTCGACCAATGAGAACGCTGGAGAATTCGCGTGGAAGAGGGGGAGACAGCGTCCCCCTCGAATGAATCAACCAATTACCGCGTCGATACGAGGAGGGGAGATGTGGGGAGACTACACCCACTCCCAGAATACTTCCAACAACCTCCTTGCCTATCCTGTTTTGCGAATATTCAAAGCGATTTTTCCGAGATTTTCGACGACATAAAACCTGATTCCTGCCTAACCTTACCGTTAAAATGTATCTTTTTATTAATTTTAATGATCTTTAGCGTCTCTACAGATGTATAATTAAATTTCCGTCATTGTTTAATTATAATCTACCGTTAAAATACTTTATTTATTTAATTGTATTAATCTAGTTATTAATAGTATTCTTTTAAATAATTCATTCGAACATAAGACGCAACAACGAATTTTGCACACTTACAATGTCACTTGCGATATAAAACAATAACAAATATCTATTTATTTCTTTCTAAAAAATGAAATATATGTCTTATTTCCATACTATTTGTTTCTTTCGAAAAAATGAAATGTATGTTGGCTTATTTTGTTAATTAGCTTGCTAAAAATTTATCAATAGGCAGAAAATATATATGTATATATCAATAATTCTCTGTAAAAATTAGATATTTGAGTTCTCTCGAGATACCTATCTAATTTCTAACCTACCATGTCGATATCGTGCGCTTCACCATCTTATTCTTGTAACGATTTACAGAAATATTTTTCTTTTTGTTATATAAATTATGCAAAAATATTTCAGCTTTTTACTGTCCATTCTTTTGCTATAATAAAATCATAAGGAAATTATCAATTTGATAATATACATAGAGGAGATAATATACATAGGAGATATCCGGAGGCGTTACAAGGCACTAAGCAGATACGCTCCAGCGTATAAAATTTGGAGGGGCGCAAAATATTAATAGGCAGCGCTACTCTTATAAATATAAAGCTCTGCCTTACCTACTTGATATTTTAAATGAATTAGCTAAAAGTGGTTTTCTGGAAATCTTCAAATTTAGCAATAGCGTTATAGATCTTATTAACTGTGCCAATGTCTGTGGTAACTGCAAAGGTATCTTTTTCAAAATTAAAAATAATAAAGAATTTTCTGAGAAATACAATGACGCAGACGCAGTCACGTGATTTAGCTATGATATCGATTAAAAAAGAATTGACGAACAGTTTTAATTACGTAATCACTTTTGATTACGTAACAATTGAAGACGTAATTAGAATTTTTAAAAACTAAAGCCAGAAAATATATAATATATTGCATTAAAAAAAAAGCGTCAAATATATTATTACAAAAAAAAACATGAAATTTATTGTATTCATATTCCTGTGTTATGCAAGTTGGTGGAAATTGCTTTATTTTTAGTTGTTGATTCGTTGCCATTGGCGGGAAATTGGTGCTTCAGAGACTTAGCAATCCTTGTGATGGGGCGCAAAAGCGAATTCCATCATTTATTGAGAAAGATCTATAAATATCTATAATTTCTAAACTTTTTATTGTTGAATAACATATGTACTATCCAGAAATCATTAAAAAACGTATAAAATATGAAGATATTTTTCGAAAATTGTCCAATCAAACATCGATACAAAGACCTCTGCTATTTTATTTTCGTGTTTGTGCAATAATATTACACAATTTTATAGCATTAAAACTCATGCAGAAAATCAAAGCTTCAATAACATTATTAAACTATAAACTATTTCTTAAAAATTATTGTATATATATAAAATAATTATAATTTAATTTAATTTAATATTTAATATTCTTAGCAATTTGTCTCGCAAATATATTTACATACATCAGTGACACATTGGAGTATACGGAAAAAAAAGATTAGTTGCAGCAGCAAAAATTTGCATGTGGTAGCTAAATTTCAGTCGTAACACATGAATACCTAACGTCGTATCTGCGAGGTCTAATTTCCATTAGCTGTGAGATCTAAATATTATTATTGTAACAGGCAAGCATTTTGCTATTATATCGCTCTATTGCTCATTGCAGCAAACGTTTTCGGTGTAGCAGACAATTTGGTAGCAAGTACAGTTTCAGCAAACTATATTTAGCTGTGGTAGAGACAATTTTTACACAGACATATTTGGTAACTATGACAACTTCATGCTGCTAAATAAATTAATCTGTAACAGACATGCATACTTTACTATCACGTCCTTATATTAGCAACAGCAAATCTTTTGTATGTATTAGCAAATTTCATAACTATAGTAGCTAATTTAATTTCAGCTAATCAGAATTAGCTGTAGCCAGTAACATTTTTTTTCCGTATAATGTATTATCAAATCTTTTGCAAAAATATATATACTTACCATTAATAATTACAAAACATTGTTAAAAAAAGATATTCTTCAATTATGTGTTTCAAATCTAATGTCTAAAGATTTGCCTCTTTTGATTAAATTTGTACGTAAAGAATTAAGAAAGACATATATTATAGTTAAATAACAGTTAATGCAGTTCAACATATGGTTACTATATTTTATTTCAAACGTGTTATATATAAATTATCATACAAATACAATAGTATAATCGTAATATATTATAAATGTTAAACAATCCTGAGTAATTATTCTACATAAGGGACAATCGAAAAGTTTTTAATATCTCTATCGTTTTTTAATATCGAGCGAATTATTGGAACGAATCGCAATAATAATCGCAATAATAATATATGTATAATATAAAATACAATAATAATATATAAACAATCCATACACACGATATATTGAGGATTAGAGACGAAGGGGAAGGAATTAATCGTCTTATATTTTATTAATGCTTAATAAAACGTCATAAACTATACAGTATTAACATCAAATGATCGCAATCTGAAAAACATTTACACAATGAGAAGATGCGATAATACACAGTGCAATGCCATATTGCTGTATTACGTGCAGTATCTATACATAACAAGAGCGAGAAACAAGCGTAAAATGATCTCTTCGTTCCCGATTAACAAACTAAAAAATTTCTTTTTTTCCTTTTCACTTATCCAACCTAGTGTCAGAAATATCTTCTCTGTGTAATAACCAGAAATGCATAATTTATAAAATATTTGTGTCTTAAAGATAACAAACTTAACGGATCCCCTCTGGGAGAGGATAGATGTACGCAAGTATAGAATCAAATTTAACCAGCGTAAAATGGAATCTTTCGTTTAACTTGACAAATATACTCAACAAATACAAATCCTTCAGAATCACGAAAATCTAATGATGTTAAACATTTAATTATTCGTATTTCAACGCTTAAAAATATTATTTCCTTTGACAATAACCATAGGATTTGTTTAACACGAGAAATCAAAGCATAATTTTATTCATCGAATACGCTCAGCCGACGTAAATTTCTAAAAGATTACGGAAACCTAATAAATATTTATCCTTGGTCCTATATATTTTTACATCGAAACACAGTTCTATACTACATTATAATAGGCTGCCTCTCTCACGACGTTTGTATACATGATTCGTAATACGCGTTTTCTTAATACACATTCGTTTTTAGCACTATTAAACAAAATATCGTGAATAATTTTGCACGTTTTGCGTTTTGTGATAATTAATGCCCCGAAACCGAAATATGTATTCCAAAATCGCTACATTCGCGGAAAGTCAATTGTAGCAAAAAGCCTACTCGCAGCTAGCGATAAAAAATTCCCTTATCAAAGTCTAAATGCAATATCAAAGAACGGCCGCCCGTAAAAGTGACGTGACGTGAGTAAATACGCTTAGAAAAATTTCTTGGGAAAAATTCTGTCAAAAACGACCTATCACAATTGATAGGCCCGCGATGAATTCTTGACATTACGAATTTTCACATCGTGGAAGAAGAATGGATTGCGCAATCCGTCCTCTTCTAATAATCGGGACCCGTTTCGGCTATTGAATCATGTTTACTTAATAAACATGTTCAATATTCACGACGATCGCGATCGGTGTATCGACTTTGGTCCATCAAAAATCATCCTAGCTTCACGCGATTCTCGTACGGCAGTGGTGAAATTGTAATTCGTATTCACACGAATCGCAGATATTATCCGAATGGTCCGTGTCTCATCGAGTGTTTTAAAATTATTTTTACGATTCCATTGTATGTATATCAAAATATTTTCGGTCTTATGATTTCCGAAAGAAGAAAAATCAGAACGATATTTCTTCTTTTATTTCGATATCATAAATGATGTCCAATGTTTTATTATCCGGACTACCATAAATTTTGTTTGTCAAATAATTTTAAATACACCAAATGTAATCGCTTCGACCATTTCTGTGAACGCACACGTACTATCTAATTATTAATCAGTGAAATAAAAAAAAAGAACGGAAGTTTAGAGCTCAAAACGTTTCTTCCTCTCGGCGACCATGCCTACAGCAGGCAGAGGAGGGTGAAGTGGATGATGGTAACTCGGTGTGGGTGTCGGAGGTAAGCTGCGACAACTTCTGCTGGACCATCTCACTGCTGGAGACCTCATCAACTCTGTAATGTATAAACAGATGACAGAATTGTTCAAGCATCCGGAATTATAAAAGCATCTGAAGACAACTGTCTCAAGATATCAAGATATAAAGCAAATAAAAATCATAAATATAAAAATTTATCACGTGGCACGAGAACTAAAGCAAGCATACGAAAATTATACACGAAAATAAGATGCGATAGATGTGAAAGTGATAGCGTGAACGGAATGATACACTTAGGTAACATTCAACAAAGTAACGAAGGAGGCAAACGGACTGAAACGGACCTGCAACGGAGAGAGTTGAGGGTTCCGGGGTGAAGCGGGATGTGTGACGAGCGTTGGCACGGAGGGTGTATGTCTGCGAGAGCTGCTGTTTTTCATTCTGCTTGGTCTCCTGCCACCGCTGGGCGCCAGTGCCGCCGCCGACTCGCATCTCTGTTGTTGTGCCACCTTACATGTCAAACAGTTGTCGAAATATTGTTACGCACAAAGCATATCGTTACATGTATCCGTAAGTGCTTCTCATATAGACAGCATCGGTTATTAGTCGCGATAACGAGAAACATTAAAATTATGAATTATGAATCGCTAAAGGATATTTGTCGCGCATAATGCTTTTACTTGAAATATTTTTGACTATCGTAGAATCGTAGAAGGAATTTGTTACTGCCTTTTAGATTTGTTACATCTTTCTCTCTCTCCTAGATCCATTTACTTTAGATTTTCCACTTTCCACAGAGTATATATAAGTATATATGTATAACTGTATATGCGTATGTACATATACACGTATTTACGTAATTATATAAAAAGTATAAAAATTACAATAAAAATTAATACAAAGAAATATAGAACTTATATCTTATTTGGAAAAAGTATATATGTACAATATTTCTTTTCGGATATCTTAAGATAATAGAAAAACTAATTTTAGTTTAAATTAATTAATTTAGTTTTAGGCTGTTGTGTCAAATTCCATCATTGCTATAGCTAGATATTAAAATATTCTTAATTGGAGATGTGCCAGTGACTAGATTTCTATGTGAGAAAAATTATATATTGTGTATATACTTTGAATTGGAATAATTAATATAGATACAAATTTCTTTGCAAAAATTCTGATATGTAAATATATTTTCATTTAACCACTGTCACATCAAAGTACAATTGTACGTTACCCACATCTTTAGCGCATTATATACGATACATGGCTAGTTAATATTTCTATAGATATTTATAGCGTATATAGTGTGTTACACCCACAATAAGGCAAGGTTAATTCGCATATTGCACATCATGGACCCTTACATATATGAATGTTAGCAAATAACCAGCGTTAGACAAGCACAATGCATCATATGCAATTAATATAAAATAATAGTAGGCACGCTTTTAACGTTAGTTATCAGTCTAATTTATAAATAACATAATTATATATAAGATTAGAAGATCGCCAATTTTATCAATTATTCTTACGAAATTAATGCAATAATTAACAATGTAGTTGTAATAAACAGAAAGCTTAAACTCATTCGTATATACATGCGATAAGGACAAGCTCTTCATAGGAGTTACCATTGCTCAATAAATATTGCATAGTTACATATTTATGCATAATTAAGCGGCCTCTACACAATATATTGATATTGATTATTTAATGTTTACATTAATGTTATTAATACAATTATTTGCACTAATAATATTGATCGTGTAGAGTCCGCTTAAAATAATATGCTCAGTCTTCGTATCAGTCCATATTTTAACAGTGTTAATATCTTAAAGCGCTGTTAATTTCCATAAAGCACATGTTAATCTCACTCTAGTATTACTCTTCTTCCGCAAGAGTAATAATCAAAGACAGAAACCTCGCCTGATTTTCGCGATTTTTCACAACTTTATGACATTATATTAGAAAACGATGCAACATTTTCGGTTGCATGCGGAAAATCATTTCAAGTAAAAATCTTCGAACCAATACTGATCATAAACAATGATACCATCGACAATAAGATCATAATTACGTCAACGATTACGCAATAATATTTTACAAAAGCACCGTGGACTCTCTCACTGTCAATCGACAACACATTCCATCACCGTAGACTCTTTCTCCCTTCCTTTCTCTCCGTATTCATCTCTCTTCTATACCTTGATACTGATGAGGCAGGCCGCTCCTCGGTCTCAAGCTGTCCCACAATGACGAGCCCAGGTTGCCATTACGCTTCTTTTGCCCTAAACTCGCCGGCTGTTCTTTTCCATCAACGTGCGAGCCGGAAACGCCGGTACTACTCGCCGGCCTAGTCAGATTATTCGAGTACGGCAACGACACGGACTTTACGCGCTCGAGTCTGTAGGAGAACGCGCTCTGAGGTCGATCCGCCGACAGAGACTGTTTTTGCAACGCGCTGGATAAGGAGCTCGCTCCTTTCGTACTCCGTTCACTCGTTAATTTCTGCTCGCTGCCACCCTGACTACCTCTGAGGCGTTGTGGCGAATAGGCGGGCGAGTAGTCTAGCGACAGGGCGGCTTTCGACGGCACGCCGGACGATTCACGAAGGGTGTCCCCATGCTGTTAGTGAAATATCGAAAATATGCGTCAATGCGGCTGATGGATGAGTGAGAGGGGCGGGTTAAATGCTAATCAAATCGCTGAACTATCCGCTAAATTACAATTACATCAGTTACGGTATTTACGATTCGTCGTTTGGTAAGCAAGAAACATATTCATTCCAGTAACACTGCAGCAGCGTTACAACGTTACCGCAATGTTACTAGAACGTTTCAATACGTTTTTTGCTTACTGGACAGACTCGTTCACGCCGAAGATCTAATATTATATTATTTACAAGGTGATATACAAGTTCGAGAATGTGTAAAAACGTGAGGTGGTCGTTAATCAAAAGCGTATGAATTTTTATTTGAGCGATTAAAATACGGGTACAGTCAGAAATTTCGTTAAAGCGCGACAAGCTTACTAAGTGAAACACCATAATATGTAATTGCAGCAGAGTTAATCAATTTAGTAGTGTACATGTTTGTTAACCACATCTACTCTTTTATAAATGAAAAACTTTCTAATCAAGGGCCATTCGTACCTTGAATTGTTGCAGTCGATGTATTTCTTCCCTCGGTTCGGCGAGCTCGTTGTCCCTACCTCTTAGAATCTGTATAGTATCGTTGATACCGCTGTCATTCGTCTCCAATACCAGATGCGCTCGCAATTGCTTGTTCCTCGCATCCAATTGCATGATGTGCTGTTGCGCCTGGGCGAGTTGCTTGGACAGATTGCCCACTTTCTCCTCCAACGCGGCTGACTCCACGCACTTGGACGAATATTTTGCGGACAGAGAAAGAATCTCTTGCTTTATCTCCTCCATTTCTTCCCTGTAAGAAAGAAAATACATACACTTAGTCTCTGCGTCAATTTAACTTCATGGTTAGAGTCGAACCGAAATCCTTGCATACTCGTGTTCTTTGTGTAGCACGCCGATGTCCTCACGCGCCTGCATCTGTTTGATAAACTCCTGCTTGAATTTGGCAATTTCCTTTTGCACTTCGTGTTCATGTGCTTTTCTCATGGCATCCAGCGCAGCCAGAGTCGCCTGCGTCTCTTCGGAGAGCGCCTGTTCCTTTTCCATCCTGAGGTTCTCCAATTCCTGTCGATGTTTCTCTTCCATCTCGGCAATGATACGCCTGTGCGAGTTCTCCATAGCCAACAAACCCTTTTCGCATAATGCACGTAGCTGCTTGATCTCCTCCTTGTACCGTTTTCGCGTTTCGGCATCGGTGTCCAATTCGGCGCTTATCGATCTCTGATAAGCAGCTCTCAACTCGTTCACATGAGCCGAATGCTCGGAATCCATCGCGTTGAGACGGTGTTCCAGTTTCCTAGCTCTCTCACGTAAGCTGGCCGCCTCCTGCTCGTATTGGGTTGTCAAAGATTGCCGCTGGCTATCCAATTCGCCCTTGATATCCATTAAATCTCTCTCCTGATTGCGCTTGAGCGTTTCTAATTCTTGATTGTGTTCGTTAGTTATTTTCTGAATAGTTTCTTGTAATTGATTGCATGTCTGGCACGATATGTTATTCATGTAATCGCTGAGCTTCCTTATCTGTTCTCGTAAATGTAAGCACTTTTCGCATACACTGGACCAATCCGTGACGCTGTTCGCCGACTTAGGCCAAATTATATTGTCGATTTTCATGCCCGTTTTGTCTCTTATACATTTGCTGAGTTCAGCTAGATTCTCTTCCAAGTGAAACAACGACTGACTGACGTTCTTAAGCTGCTCTTTCGACTCTCTCCTTCCAGATATTCTGTCCTCGCATTCCTTAATCAATCGCTGATAAAGGTAACTATACTCCGCGTCGAGAATCGGATTGCTTTGAAGATCGTATCCCTCGTCGTTTGCTAGACAGGAAAGGATCTCTTCATTTCGAATAAGACTAGATACGAAAGTTTCGCCAGACAATGCTGTAGATGATTGCCGTGTGGTTTCCTGAAGGAGGGCGATTCTGGAATCTATTAAAGCTTTGTGCGCAATTACGTCGGCGTAGTCTGTGAGCAGCTGACGGGATTCATGTTTGGAGTCGAGAGTCATCAACTTGTTCTTCTTCATCGTACGCAGACAGTCCTCGTAAGCTTCTGACAGCTCGTGTATGGAAACCTCCATTTCTTGACGCAATCGCGCTTGTGCCGCGTCCACCCACGATTCTAGCTTAATACTGTCTGCGTTATCGAAACTGAGGCAAATGTCCGTGATCGAAGTGACGTTTTGTTCGTATAATTGTCCATAACGCATGATAACGTGAGACACTTCGGCCTGCACGAGTTCCTTGCTCACGGTCTCCTGTGCTAAAGCCCATGCCTCGCGAATACGTCTATCTTCGAGTAGTTTCTTGTTCGAGCCGCTGATCTGCTTGCCCGCGAGATCTTCCTGCTCGGACAGACTCAACGTCTCGGCTGCCAGAGATTCCGCGAGCTGTCGCAACTTCGCGTCCTTGTACTTCCGCATGATCTCGTTGATTTCCCGCTGCTTCTGCAGCAGAAAGTTTAGACTTTCGCTGCGAGCGGCGTTAATCTCCTTCGGCGTTTCCGTCGACACGGAAGAGGGTCCTATCAGTACTAACTTATTCGCTAACACTTTAGTGAGATACTGAATGTAACTCGTTTTTTGGTACGTTTTGGGCTTAGTTCCGTGAATCTTACGCTTTAAGCTTGAGGCAAGCTGACTAGTTTCGACCAATTCACTCAAAACGGCGCTTCTGTCTGTCGTGCGATTTAACGCGCACTTTATCTGTCGCAGGATCACGGACTCGAAAGCTATTCGCTCGGCGACGAGTCTCATTTTCTCCCTCTCGTCCAGCCGTCCTTCCTGCGCCAGCAACTGCCGTCTCTTCGTGAGTTCGCTCAATTTGTCCTTAAGTATAGTTTCTAACCTAGATACCACTACCCCTACTGACTCGGTGATTTGAGCGCTAGCCTGGTTTTTCTTACATTCTAAGCACGAGTCCAATATTTCATTCACCTCTCGCAAACACTTCTCGGCTTTATCTTCCGCTTGCGTCGAGCCAAGACACTTCTCCAATCGTCGTTTCGACTTCGACACTACTCTCTCCAGTTTCTTCAGCCTTGCCAGGACTTCCAATGATACCTCGGAGGACCCACTGATTTCGCTACATTCGCTGGAGTCTTTTTCTGCGTCACTGACCATGGCCTCAGCAACGCTCGCAACTTTTGTTTCTAGAGTACTTAGTCTAATCAACACTTTCATTGGTTCAGAACTTGTCGCGCTATCTAAGGATTTTCTTCGCAATCTAGCCCGATCCAGATTTTTACTTTCTCTTCTCTTTTCTTTTTTCGGATTAGGACTCGATTCCTTCGAACTGCCAACCGAAACAGGAGCACTAATGCTCTTGCCTCTCTCTATAGCGCAGATCTTGTTTTCTAGATCCAAAAGTTTATCCTCTACCTCCTGAGAGATCTGGAAAGATTCTCTTCCTTTGAGAGAGAGTGATCTTCTCTTATCTCTGCTCTCAGCTTTTGTCAATTTTTGCTTTAGAGTTCTAATTTGTTTTTCGCTGGCTGCTAACTTATTAGTCAGGTCTTGGATTCTCGCCGCCATTAACTGAACCTGTGCTTGATTTGTCTCACTAACGTTAGCTGCGTCCTGTTTATGAGCAAAGATTTCCAACTCTAAAACATCTTGTGTAGCATGAGCTTCTCGCAGTTCTTTCCTCATGGCTCGAATTTCCATAACAGCCTTCTCAAAACGACTTCGCAACTCGTCGTATTCCTCCATAACTCTACAACAAAAATATCACATTGTATACGTGATTACTACTCATGCGATACACTTCTTATACAACTTTTATACAACGCGTATTTACCTTTCCTTATCCAATGCAGTCAAATCTAAATCCAATTCAATATTGGTTAAATCGCTCAGCGAATCGAAGCTTCTTCCACGTTCCCTCGAAGCAGAAAGTCCATTCTTTTCCTCTAATTCTCTCACTCTATTATAAAGTCGTTCATTTTCCTCGATACCTAATTTAAGCAACAATATATTATCAATCAAACATTTTCTTAAATTTATTAAAATATAAAATCATGTGTTTTACAAACGAACAGTACATGTACGTACCTTGAGACAATCTATCGCTAAGAGCTGCTGTTTCCGCCTGTAGATGTTCGACAGATCGGTGACTCGATGTTAGTTCGTTCGTAAGCATTTCACATCTCTCTGTCGTTTCTCTCAGAATAGCCTCTGTTTCAAGTAATTTACATTCTAAGACTTCTTTCTCCCTGTTGTACACATTTTTCATCTTTTCCAAATCGTCTAGATCTTTATTTCTCTGCTGTTCCGTCCTCTGTATCGTATTCAATAGTTCTTCCACTTGTTTCTCCCTGATAGACGCCTCTACTTTCTGTTGTCGAAGTCTAGATAATTCCTTCTCCGCATTTGCAATGTCGGTTCGTGCTGCATTCAGCTGCGACTTCAAGTTCTCAATTTCATTCTCCTGACGTTCGATAATGACTAGTAACGTACTCGGATGAGACTGATTTTGATCTAGCTGATCGCGCAGCAGCGACACTTGATTTTCCAAAAGCTCGACAATAAGAGGACTGTCGTTAGTACTCGAGAGGCAGCTGTTACTCTGCAAGTGGCCATTGTTCTGCTCCTCGTCCTCACCAAGTTCGCAGCAAGCCATCATTAGATCTTCCGATCTTACACTATCCAGGGTACTTCTTCGCGAACTCGGAGGTGAGCTCCGGCTTCTCTTATAGACTCTCGATCTAGAACTCGATCTAGATCGAGCTTTCACCCTCGACAGTGCGGTTCTTGTTAATGGCGGCGACGGTGGTAACTCCGACCATTCGTGGTTTGCTGAATCCGACCAGCCGGAACCTTTTAGCGCCATAGGCCAATCACCGTTTCTTACCAGCGGTGGTGATACCGGCATCTCCGACCAATCGCCGGATTCTCTTCGACCACCCTCGGAAGCGGTTCTATACTCTTCGTCAGACGAGAATAGAACCGATCTGGGCGTGATGGATGTCGATGGAACAACGGAGTCTCTTTCACGATCCGTAATGGATCTAAAACAATATTTGTAAGCATTCTTAACTTTAAAAATATGATGAATTATCTCTTGTCTAAAAATTTCTCTTGTAAAAAATATTTGCTCCAAAAAATATATAACTATTTTAAGCGTAAACTCCTTAAATATGTATATCAAATAATTATTTAGCACAAAAAGTTATTATTTTATGACGTAAATAAAATTATTTAATAACTAAATAATTGCATTATTATTCTCACGTAGTAGGCGACTGCGGATTCGTCTCTTGCTGAGTATCTGTACAAACGGTAAGAGAATCGTTACTGTCGGGATCAGGTAAATTGGCTGCTCTTCTGATGGCCGACATCCAACTGGACCTAATGCCGGCTGTCACCGCGGAGAGCACCGTGCTACCTCTGTCGTCCCAGGCCTGTGTTGTAAACCAAAGTAGTTAGTATGCGTCGCGCAAATGATACGAGCGTGAAAGAAGTGTCATGCAACCGCATGAGTTTCATCTTGAGTGAGAAACGCGACCGTTGCCAACAATCAATAGTGTGAGCAAGAAGCTCCCGACTTATTCTACCGTGAAATTGAGTTAGTATTTATTCTCCTGGACGCTCCCATTCTAAATACGGAAGCTAATTCCGACCGTCTAATTTAAACGTATCCATCAAGCTTAAGTGAAAAAGTAATCTATTGCTTAAATTGAATTTGTACAATTTTTGATACTCTTAGCTATTTTTCATCTTTTAATTACTTTCATACAAAAGATTAATATATACGCGAAAATCTTTCTGACTTTAAAATAAACTTTCTCAAGTTCTTTAAATGAATACATTCAATTTTCTCTCTCTGAATTTTTCCAATGAAAAAAGTAGGTCATGCTAGATCATAGAATCGCTAGACTTTAATTTAACATAAAAAAATGTTATCGCATAATTAAGGAGATTGTTTTGCAAAAGCAGTTAGGTACTTTCCGAGAAACACGAACGCTTCTCACTCACGCAAACACGATATCGTAATTACGATTACTCACGACAGTCTGAAATCCATAATTTCGTGCGACCTGAAGCGACGTGACCGCGGTGACAGTATTGAGGTCTATAACACCATCCATGATGCCCTTGTCCTCCGCACAAGGATCTCTGTAGTACATCAGTCCGCAACCTCTCAACACAAACCAATGTTTGTTCCATTCCTAGGTAAAAAAAATTTTTTTAATAATAAAAATTTTTTAATAATCACTTTAACTAAAGTGTACAAGTTTCTTCGACTCCCCTTATTCCTGAATATGCGAGACGCACCTTATTCAAGCCTTGCTTCATCAGCCAGCCCTTCTTGATATTCAGCAAGTCCTCTGCCGGCAGATCGACTCTCAATTCGGAAGTGGGTGAATACCTGATGCCGGAAATATCTAGACCGCAGCCATCGGGGTCGCCTCTGATCTGTACGTGAAACGCGTATCGTAAATATATCTTATTTTTAAATAAAATTAAAATGAGCATCAATATGATCCTCCACAGAAAGTCATATTTTTAAATACATCTCACAAAATCTTAATTATACGTTAAACAAGACGATTAGACATACTCCCATAAAATATTTAATAAATGTACTTTTTAAAAAATATAGTTAATAATAATTATTCTGCCGATGCAAGATACACAATCAATTAATAATAATAATTTATCTACGTACGAGTTTATCCTGATGAGCAGCATTAACCGCATCCACGACATCTCTAGTTGGCTCCGAAGTTCTTGGCTTGATTCTCCTTATTCGTGGCTGTGTTAATGAAGCTGCAATATCTCGTAACTTTCCCTCTCTTTCTCGTTCGTGCTCCAAAAGTATCCTTCGGCACGCGTCGTCATCTATATAACATATATTTTCTTACATTTCTTACATCTACAACATGCAACATACCGTAATATAATATTAACAAATTTTATCCCCTGTCTATATATTAAATCATTCTCTGTAATTTTGATCTGTTCACGAGCCTAACGGCGTGCTTCGAGAACTATAATTATAATTGTAATATTTAGAACGCTCGTGAGGAGAATCCAAGAGGCCACCGCATGAGACGAAACCGTTAAGTCAGCTTCCTGCGTTCGTAGTTATCAAATATTCGTTTCGCTACGTCGCATCGCTGCGTTGCCGAGTTAACTAATTAATTTCTTTTCTACTTAAAAGCACCGTCTGCCCGAGATGGGCGCTCGTTGGCACAAGTAAACGACCATTCCGTATTAATTGACTGCCGATTAATTAATAACTTTCGTGCCTGACGAAAGATTTCAACGTGAAATTTATTCACGAGAAATTCGCGATTTATTAGCAAACTGTAATTCAATGTAAATTACAGTTTTGCTATAATAAATCGCAAATTTCTCGTGAATAAATCCTACGTTGGAGTCTTTCGTCAAGCACGATTAAACCGACCAAGGCTAATCGGCGATCAGCGGCTTAAATCTCGTGAGTGATTTCAATGCTCCGATAAGACAGACGCGTTTCAATAATCCGCGTTCGTTGGAAATCGTTAGTGAGATCGTTCGACGGATTTCGCGTGCCTGCGTTCCGATTTTTCGCGAGGTAGTTTCTAAAGTATCCCGTCGTTCGTTTGGCGTCAATCTAAATGAAATCTACGGATCGCGCAGCACAGCGCAGTGCAGCACGGCCGAATGGCCGTAGATTTCCTTCACGATTGCGCGTACGCAATTACGCAACGTGTAACGCCGGGTACAATCGAGACGGTACAATCGGATCCTGATACTCTCCCGGGGGCTCTAAAGACAAACGTATGGACAAGAGCCCGATGTTGAAAGTCCTATAAATTATAAGACCACAAAATAAGGGTACCGATTTTTCACGATCAACGCGAAAATCACGAATAAAGACTTTTTCTTAATAATACATTGAAGTATATTTATTATTATAATATTAGCTCTATTATAATATAGATAATATTAATTGTATAAAAAATTGTTAGAATTAATTAATTAAAATTTTTGTTTTCTGAAAAATATTCAGTTTTAATAATTAATAGCTCTCTATGCAAGCTCAGCAACGTTTTCACACTAACCGCTACGTTCGCGGTATCAATTATATTGAACAAAAATAGGTCAGCTCCAACTTAATACATCAGTCGTTCCTTCCGAGGGCTGCAAATCATCGTCATTGAGAATGTAAAACGCAAAGTGGCAGCGTCCCAGTTTCCATCCGTATATAAACTAGTTTTATCCGTCTATTAAGAGCAAGAAAAACTTTCGACATGAATCGTGACAAGGTGAGACGAACCTCTTGAGAATTGACTTCTAATGTGACTTTCACATGTATTTCGAAATGAAGTTACATTCTTTAAACTTTTGTCCATATATATTGTATTTTCTAATTTTAATCATCTACGATAAAGCATTAATCATCCCAAATAAAATAATCGGACATACATAGCAATATTTTGTCACATCAAAATCTTAATTATTTATCGCAATTATATCATCAGAAAATATTTATTGAATGTATAATTTGAGATATCATAATAAAAAAAATAAATCACAAACGTCTAACTAATTAAGAATCATTACTCATAATTTATTTTTTTTAATGAGTAAATATTTATTTACTATAAGTATTTACTGTAAGTAAATAAATATTTGTTTGATACTATTCAAACAAATAAATGTATTAAGGTTTAATAAATTTTTTTCAGCGTACATGATGCGAACAAACAACAAAAAATCTTATTCTTCACATTGCAAAGATATAAGACCACAGATACCATAAAGATATCAGGCAGATGTCCTGTGTAATCAGAGTCAAGGAGATGTCAAAGTACAGATGACGATATTATCCGTAGGAGTCGCCACGCCAATAGGAAGAGATTGTGCCTCATTTAATATACCGACCTAGTTTCTCGCCAGAGGCTGGGCCGGTCGTGTCGCCGATGATGCCGCCGGTCCGCTCGCCCTGCTGATTCATCCTGCGCCTGGCCTTGTCTTCGGCGCGGAGTTTATCCCGGGTCGGCGGTGACGCGCTGCTAGCAGGTTGATCTCGATAGCTCGTCGATCTCGCGCCGTCGTTGGGAATCATCGGCGGCTTATCGGCCAACGAAACAATGCTGTTCGTCGTCGTCGTCGAGACTGGCGTCGAGGATGTCGAGTAGATCGTGCTGCAGACGTTGCCATTCAACGATGATGTGGTTGACGTCACAGTGGTCAGATAATTTCCGGTGGAACCATTCTCGAGAGCACGCAACGGCGACAGGCCGTTGTTCCTGATCTCGGAGACGCTCTCCGTGTTGCCGTTGGTCAGCACGTTGTTACTGGTGGCGGTGACAACGCTCGTCGTCACCAAGGACGGCGTGGATGAGAATACAGAAGAGCACAGATCCGATGTTCCTCCACCGGTTTCTGGGATCCATGCACTGCTGCGCGGCTCCGATCGGCAGCTATTGAAGCGCGGTCGCGGTGGATTTGGCGTGTTACCTGCGATCAAGTTCAGATGCTACCTTTTGTAAAAGCTCGGACGAGCGAATAAAACAGACAATGGAATGCAAGATTTCTACAATAGAATAAAGAAATAAGAGATATTCTAGTCCTCCTTAGAAAACAGCGATGTTAAATTCGAAAACTACAGTACACACAGAAAAATACATACTGTTCGCAAATAATAATTACTTGTTGCGAGTATTTTAAAAGTTCATATATTCGCAAATCTATTGTAAATTTATCATAAGCATCAAATTTATTCAAACTGTATTCTGAGAGTCCTAATAAGTTTAATACTTCAATCAAAAATATTAAAATAAATTCGATTTGCTTGTTAAATAAAGTCGTTTTTTTTTTGATCGATTTTATAATATTCTTCAAAAGAAAATATATATAAATCCTTGTTTTGAGTAAATATATAATAATAAGTTTTTTTTTTAATTTGTAATAAGTACATTTGAAGGTTTCTATTAAGAAAATATTCCTTGTTAAAGATAACTATTACTTAAAAAAAAGAAAGTAAATTGAGTAAACAGTTTTCTTATAACAATAGAATGATATTTTTCTGTGCAGTGTACGAAAGAGACTTATTTTAAACGACATTATAGGATCATCGTCTTATTGTTAAGTGATACGTGATACAACTCAAGCTAATTGCTGTAATTTTCGTCGTGAATAATTGAAATAAGTACAATTCAATTAGAGATAACGAGAACTTCGTTCTCGAAACCGGGGATAACGAGGTGGCAGCAGTATAATAATAGTCGCACATTGTGCAGAAGAAATGTGCCTTCTCCCTCGCTCCACTTGTCTTCCTGTTATTTGTATTCATTTCTGTCACTCGCGTCCCATGCGATATTTACCACGTCGACTGAAATATCGCACGTTACCCCTCGTTATGTCAAGTTGTTTGCGTAAAGACCTCCATCTATGCAATACCGCGAAATGGCTAAACGAGGTAGTGATTACACCGTCTTGTTAACCACCAGCGTGGAAATAGCTACGCATATTATACACACTATAAAATTTACATAGTATACAAGCAGCAGGTACTCACTTCGAATCGTCGGTGTAACTTGCAGGATCGTCGTCTGCCCTCCGGGAAAGGTTGCATTTCGCTTGTGGCGACCCTGAAAATACAAAATAGCACACCGTGAAGACATCGTAGAAGAGAATTTACCCAAGGTAAATTTGCTCTATTGTTAAAACTCTCGAGCGTTTCTTTGCCGTCACAATCTAACCGGATAATCGATCGCGATGGTACGCGCGATCTGAAAAGCGATCCGCGAATAATCGCACGATTACGTTCATCCGCGCCCGTATCGTAATCGTGAGAACACCATGATCTGCGAACGGATGTATTTCTCGGGAAATGATTAACCCAAATTTTAATTTAACGTGTATGAATTACGAAACATTTATAAGCCACATTAATAATATAAAAATATATTTATTTATTCATTTATTAATTCGGGAATAACTCTACGTTTTTAACAGCTAGCATTTGATATTGTCTTCTTACGTTGTCCTACATTCTCAGTTGAAAGAAACTGATGATTGCTAATAAGTTGACTTCGCGAGTGATCTCAAGGTGCAAAGCAAGCCTCCTTTGCATAGACACCGTAGCGATTCGAAGGACAACGGAGAAGGAGGGATAATCGTAAAAAAATGTGGAAAATAACGCGGGAGCAGGGTTTCCTTCACGTTCACCCGCGTTAAATGTCGCGAGGAATATAAGTATACATCTCGCCTTGGCCTCGTAACGTAATCGTTCGTTTACACCAGTGCGGGGTCCGCGACAACGAGGTGTAGCCATTTGCCGATCGATCATTGCTTGCGTAACGGAATTGACGTACGTGTAGTCGTGTAATCTACGTACGAACAATGCGAGCCTGCGACGAGATCCTAAACATGCGAGGACGATTGATCGATCGATTAGTGATCAACGCGAAACCCGCGGGCGCAAAGAATACTTCATTCTGTTCTGAGAAGATAATTACCTCGCTATTTTGCGAGAGAGAGAGAGAGAGAGAGAGAGAGAGAGAGAGAGAGAGAGAGGGGGGGGGGGGGGAGAGAGAGAGAATAGCTTTACGAACTTCACACACGCAGGTTGTAACACATAATTCAGGTACAATAATTTACAAAGGATCGGATATGCAAAGTGGTATTTGCATGTATCAGAATATTTCTTTATACAATCCCGACAATTTAACTCGAAAAATATTTTCCTCGACTGGATTCTTTCGTTAATTAATTTATAAAGTTAATTTGAATAAAAATATGCATGGTCCAAAAAAGGAATAAAGAAAACATCAACTAACGATATGTTGTAATACGAGACCTACTTTGAGATTTCTGGACGTGTATTCGAAATAAAAAAATATCTTTCTGTGAAATCTACTATCCTTCGATAAAATACGATCGTGTGTGCAACGCTACGCGGTTTTGCACCAGAAATGTCGAATGAAGAGATATTTCTGATTGCTGATCGATCATTTCTTGCGTAACATATGATCGAGCGATTCGCTGCGTTGTTATAAAATTTCGGACGATGTAACGAATGACAGCTTTCGAGCGATTCGATTTATGACAGGGTTGATTTATTGGAAAGTTCGCGAGCGGACATCACGGTCCACAATTTAATTAGACAATCGAGAGAGGCTAGACAATCGCATGGATCAGAAAGACCATCGATATGACGCGACTCGAATTTCTTTTCGGCTTGCTCGCCGACGACTTGTAAGTTGCGCAATAAACAACGCGCGATGTACAAACGCTGTATAACGCTCGATACACTGTTGTAAACTTGAAGTCCGTCGACAGGTAGAAATTGGATAAACGTGTCTCGTTTTTTTTTTTTTAGCAGCGGTTGTTTTATGGCCGCAACAATTTGCAACACGCGTGAAACGCATGTTGCGTGAAATGTCATAAATTTACGGTTGCCTTGTGGCGCCGACATGGTATAGACTATGAAATGACGGAGTTATAAAAATCACTTATCTTTCAACTCGTTCGCCGATCTTACGTATCTCACTTTACATATCTTGCCAATTAGCAAACTTATAGCTGCTAATAAGTGAAACATAAACAGAATGTGAATATCATACTCCGAGCAAGTTTCAAGTCCAGTCGACGATGAGACGTCAATATAGAGAATTTAAAAAGTTCCAAGTATCTAACTTGTAACGTGACACGTTAAGAGCATGCACGTAATTAATGGAGTTACCACTTGTAAGGCAGCTTTTACAGACTAGAAACGATCGTTCTCAAGTCCGGCCAGGTTCGCCAAGACGCGATCGCATAGCAGAGAGTGAAACGGTGCCCCTCTCCATTTGTCACCGAGCGCTTTCGGTTGTCGGCTGAATAATAGACGTTCTTTTTGTAACGCCTTGGTGCGGCGTTAAGCGACGAGTGAAAAGAGAAAACAGGGGCCCTCTTCTTAGAGAGATCGCGGAAAGGCGGATGAATCGCAGGAAATGGCCAATCGACTCGACTAACAACCCCGCGAGATGCAGTCCCAACAGTGACAACTCGCGCACTACTGAGCGTTATTGTTGGCGTAATGAGTGCGATGCGGTACGCACATCGGTCAGCGTGGCGATTATGCGAGGCAACGTCGGCAGTTTCACTGTCGCTTATGCCGTTTTTTTTTTCTTACCAAGACCTTTCAAGCGTCGATCGGCACAATTGCACTCAATAACCGCTTCATCACGTGAAAGCGCCCGTTTATGAACTCGACGACGCACTTTTATGTTGCATTCTGTCCTACATTAACGCTAATCCCATGACGTCTGACAGCCTCTTTTATGTAATGAAAAACAATAAAGACATTTTTATCTCCGGCATCGTCCGTAAAGTAACGTGAATGTTTATTAATAATTTTCGCGAATTAATTTATGAATTGATTTTATCTACGATTTAATCCTGGAACGCTGTCAATACGTAAATTTTATATACAAGTGAACGAGATCATTCAGTGCTAAGCTAGTCTGTAATGATCATTAAGAGAGAGTTGAAGTAACAATACTTTTAATACTCAAAACAAGTTGATTAATTGGCCAGTACTAATATTAAATTTCTATAAAGGAAATCTAATCTGCTGTGTCAAACATTAAGAGTAAATAAAAATGAAATGTAAATAAATGTTTAAAAATTCCGTCCGTTTATAATATGTCCCCATTAGATTATTCTAGCAACATTGTAACGTTCCAGCAATATTGCAATAACATTACAATCGTTGTAGCAATGTTGCTTTTATGGTATATGAATCAATTTGAACTCCGCATGATAGTCAAGCTTATAACGGAGAGCGTGATAAGTAATTTTAATTATTAAGCAGTGTTTTGTGTTATATTATTTTATATTAATATATATATATATATATATATATATATATAAAATATAAAAGTTTTGAGTACTGAAGCTAAAACTGTCCGATAGTTAATATTCAGTTAAGTATTTTGCATAAAGTTCCGCAGTCTAATTATAAGACATATAATATAATTGGACTACATACTCCATATCAATTCAAGATTTGGCAATGCGTTTATTCTTTCCTTTTAAGTTAATAATTAGATTATATATGTTTATAAAGATCTAGATTATAAACATTTTGTTATTAAATTGTGAAATATATGAAAAATTGTATTAATATCAATGACATTCTGGGGTTAAATTAGAAAGCAGATGATATTTTTTTAAAGCTTCGTGTAAATTATAAGTACCGTGAGAAAAATTATTGTGAAAGAGAGTAAATTCTCGGAGATTTAACACGTTTTCCAGACCTCAACACGTTCCATATCAAATTGCACTGAAATAATCAAAATGTTCTTCAGATTCCCCCTTGTGTTAGATTTATGGTAATACGTTGAAATCCTATCGAAACTAATCCCGTCGACGCGAAAAGACATCGCAAACAGGGGAATCATTCTTACACGCGTAACAAGCGTGACGCGAGAGAGGATGCATGGCACGTAATGATTATGCGAGGGCACCAGCAATCAGCCGACAGTTGCGTTTTCTTACCGTTTGCGTGACTCCGTTCTCTCGCGCAACGCTCTTTTCGACGTAATACAGTATCGATATGGAGTCTCGCTGCGTATCCTCCGTAATCGACAGCAAATTAAATTCTCAAATGATACACGTAAGACGCGAGTCTACATCGCAAGTGTACATTAAGCATCAACGCTTTCGCCGATGGGCAATCGAGCCATTTTCTCAAATCGATATTTCTCTCATAATTCGACACAGAAATTCGATTTCGCCTTTCGCTACAGCAGTTTCAGTGCATTTTATTGCGATTATGCAAATATCTCAATCAAAAAGAAATTTATCACATTTCAAAAAAGCTATGCGGGGTTTGTGAATTATTTCCGTCTCTTGATACATTGTTAAATGCATTTAATGATATATCAAGACACAGATAATCCGCGTAGCTTCTTTGAAGAAAGTAGCCGTTGAAGCCTCAAGAGTGTTATTAAATGTACCATTTAATTTTTACTATATTTGCACCATTTAATCTTTACTTTATTTATTAATAATTTTGCGATAGCATTTAATTAAGTGTCCTTGATTAAACGACGTACGATTATGTAAGACTAAAAAATAGAAATATTGAGATACTGAACTGGACCAACCTTATTTCGCGAATACACTTGGAGAACGTCCGTCCACCACCTGGTCTCTTCACGACACGTTCCTTTAACGAAGGTCACACCTTCCGGTGAGGTCACGGCAAGGCTGTAAGGATGCCCAGTGACGTCCTCGGCTGCGGCTACCTCCAGGACGCGGGTCATGTCGATCCTCGCCTGAGGCACCGTTTCAGGCTGCAATGATAAGAGGAAAAACATCTGATATAAGACTGGCAAACATGAACGTTCTACTTTATACGGAATTACAGGAAGTTAACGTAATGAATCGTCAAATTATGTGGATTTTTCACACGTAAATATCGCGGTTAGAGATCTTATAATAACAATTTAGCAAAAACGGGTAAAAACTGGCGAATAGAAAGAGATAACAGTTATTTGCTTTCTTTTTCTTATAGCTTTCTATCTCTTTTTTTTCTTCTTTCTTTCGCTTTCTCTTATTTTCCAAAAATGTACATAACTATCCGAATATACTATCCGAAATGGATCATAAATTTCTGACCAGTTAGAAGACTGATTCACTTTAGCAAGTCTTTTATTATAGGATCTCTTATTGCGGTTTATCTATACGAAAACCAATGCCAAAAGAGACACCCGACATCGACGCAAATGTTGTAAACACAAATATATTATACGCGATGATAATTATATACTATCAGTCGGTGTGTACTTGTCACTATTAAAATGAAAAAGAGCGAATAATGATAATAAATGAGATAATGGTAACCATCATCAACAGCATGCACAGCCGTCGCAACCGCAGGGCTCACTTTTATCGAGCTCGATGCTTTCTTTTTGCGAACGACCGTTTTGCGAAATTACACGTGCGTTACACGTTCGCATTCGGTCGGCTGGGTTACATCGGGCCCGTTTTTACCGGAAACGTATCATTTCAGCGCAATAGCGTAATCGACCGGTCGCAGCCGACTATTCCTCTCGTCTCCTTCCCACCTCCTCCCGGCCGTAAAAGTTGCATTCCACGGAAGGCAAGAATAACGTCTTATTGCCGATTCCAGCAAGGCACTTCGCTCCTCGTAAAACGAAAGTGAGTCTCATCGGTGATCGCGCAATTGCCGTCAATTTGAGAGGAAAAAGGGGGAAAGAGACATCGCGGAGGAACAAGGCGGAGACGAGAGATCGGTGTGAGTCGCACGTTGGTCAAAGCACACCATTTGCGAGTGCCGTAGGCACTTTACACCGCGTAAAGTGCACCCGGGAATGTCACCACAATGCAATCGTTGATACTCCTTCAGAAACGAACGTAGCTGCTTGCGTCGAACAGATCGCTTTCATGCCGGAGGGGAGTAATGTACGACGAAACGAGCAATAAAGACTAATGACCAATCTTTGAGTAATAAATTGAACGATAAAAAAGAGAATGAGTAACTCTTCGCGTCTATACCAGCAATAATATCGTTATTATAGGACAGAAATTCAATTATTAGAAAAAAAAACTCGCGATGAATCGAAGTTTCCATTCGACATACAAAATGCTATCTTAAAAAATCATTGCCGACAGATATCGTTTACTCTATATATTATAAAGTATACAGTAAACCTCCGATATTTTACATTATAAATTCCTAAATGTCAAATTATATCCAATTTGAGTTTTTTTAATCATTTCTATAGGTCGTCATTGCATGCCGTCAATTAATAATAAAATTAAATAATTTAACTTAAGATAATGTATCAAATTTGATTCAAATTTAGTTTATTATTTACTAAGTGCATACAACTGAAAAAGTTTCTCACAAACAATGATTAAGCTTTTACTTTAATGGCTTTTCCAGGTCGTTGGGTCGAAAGAAGGAACCTTATCCTTCGCCATATCATTCTTTTGATGTCACTTTCTTGGATTTATTCTTTTGGAGATATTTCAAGAACATAGTTCACTCCACCAAGATGTCATCGAGATGAACATTAATATTTTTGGTAACCGTTCAACTGTAACCGCCATTAACACCATATGTCAATGACACGCACTTGATGAAAATTGGGATATCAATTCGATATTTTTCGTGCCATTAAAAATGCTCGCTTAACGGCAGTTCGTTTTTTGTTAAAAACTTTTTTAGTTATTCTTTACAAAAAGACCTAGAAATATGTGTTTATTTTTATTTTGCATTACTTTAAAATATCAGAGGTTCATCGTATACATCATGTATTTGTACCTATATCGTATTACAGAAAAAAAATGCAGAGACGTATTTATTCATAGGGATTAGAATATAATCACGAAGGATTCGATTGCGCCACACGTTCGTCTTAAAAATGCTCATCCTCGAAAGATGAAGGCACTCGTAACGTCGAGTATATATGCGAAGCACCGCGTATAATTCAAAGTGCCGCCCGCCCAGCAATTTTTCTCGCGCGCGAGCAGCGACATTATTCTTGAAATGCGAGGAGGTTCATTTGCGCAGCGCGCATCTCTCGGCGTTTTGCACACCTATATACATATATTCTCCTCTTACTCCCTTCCTCTGCCTCTCCCCGCTCGCATCGGGATAATGCAAAAATTTACATATGAAAAATCCCTCCTTGTAGCCCGCATAATTAATCGCGAGAGATGAGAGAGGGCACGAGTGCACTCGAGACCGATGGCGGAGAAAAAATTTATGAACGCGAAAAGTCTGAGACGGTGCGACGATGAAAGTAATTAAAATATTATTAATAGTTCTCCCGCGTTTTTTTAGTCTTTCTCCGCGTTTCGTCGGCATCTCGTGCTTGGTAACGTGAAATTTTATCAAAATCCTTTGAGAGAAAAAATTATATATATTTTCTTCCTCACTCTAACTTATACTTACTTTATCATTTTAATTAAAGTTATAGAGTGAGACAATATAAATTAAAATGAGATTATATATATGTGTATATATATGTATACTCTTTACAACTTCTAGAATAAGATTTCATTCTAAAAAATTAAATCTTATTTTTAAAGATTGAAAAGTGATTTTTTTTCAACTCAATTTAAATTCTTTAACTCAGATTCTATTATTAGATTTCTAAGATGCATATATTACACGCATTTTATGCATTAACGGTTGTGTAAAATGTACTAACTTTTGAAAGACTAAGAAATTGGAGTACACGTCTTTCTCCATCCTTAACAAGAAAGTAATAAACCTAAACATTAATTAATCACTTTCACGGCCACTTACTATTGCAAAAAACAAGCATGTTTAAATTGAATTCGAACGTTACTAGTGTTTTCTAAATCTTTCTCGAAGGCCAGCGAATAATATTTTTCTAGAAATCCATTCAACTTACATTTATTACCATCTTTTTTTCCTATATTTTCTATATCCTATAGAAAAAAAAACTTTATATTTTAAAAGAAAATTGTTCCATATAGAATTTTATTTCATAAAACAGTTTTTTAATTGCAGTTTATCTTCTTCCTTGGAATAAATCTATGTGAATGTAACTGTATCATGTAAAGGAGAATACACTCTTCTCTTGCAAACATACATATACATATATACACATCCCACAGCATCTCACAGCATCCCTGTGCCTGCATTTTAAGTAAAGATCAAAGAACTCTGTGGATAGAGCGCGGTTATTGCGAGAAAGGGACGTGACGCGCGAAGAACGAATGCCAGAGAAAATCTGAGGATATTAGACACGGTGCTGCTCCCACATACTTGCTGCCTGTATGGCAGCGAAATATGAAAGACTTCTGCGGATAGACATTTACGAGACCAATGTAAACGTAGCGCTTTGCGAAATCTCTTGGAACAATAATAATCCATTTAACCGTCGGAGTTCGAATGTTTGTGGATGGCATGACAATATTATGCTATTGAAATATACGGCGTGTTAAATGCTAATAACTGCCAATGCTAATGTGACGACTAGCTATTTAAGTAATACAAAACATGTATTTAGTTTTTTGCATTATATATTTAAATATATATTAACATATACTTATATATTTAAATATATACTGTTTAAGTAATCAAAATTATCAAAAAACGATAAATAATTTACATTGCTGCAGAATATCGCAATTATTTCGTAAATACTGAAACAAAATACACATGAACATACAAATGCACAGGCACGAAAATGAAGATAAAGAATGAGTATTCTTCGAGTCGTGCATGCATCTCAGGTTAAGACCGAAATACGCAAGGCAGTTATATTCGGCGAACAAACAAGTCTGAAAGAAAATCCATGACGTATTAAGCCCGCATCGCGGCACGAGTCTCTATTAAGACAGCACCGCTTTCATATGCCCTCGAATTATACTCTCAGATACGGACGAAGGGATATGTCCAACCGGGCGATACATTACGGTCCTATGTCGGTTCTTTTGCGTACACAAGATCGCCCTGCTCTCGGTTTTTATTGGCAAGAAGTGGGTCGGCCCTTTTGCTTGGCTTCCTTGTTTGCTTACTCTGTTTAGTAAAAGAGGAAATAAGTAGCATCATAGTTCTGCATACTACTAGCGTACTTAAGTTTTACTATTAACGTGAAATACTCATAAAAATTTTAAACTACTCATTTTTTTTAAATATTCATGAAATTTTTAAACCATTTTATGTTAAAAATTATTACAAAATACATTAGATACTAATATAAGATAAATAAAGTCGCGACGAATCTTTAACGTGCATATAATTGATATTTAACCTTTAACATGATGATTTTTTGGTACTTTACACCCAATGGATGTCCTAGATTAACTTTTATTACTTTTACAAGTAGACAAAAATTATTAAATAATTCTTACATATCTTTCATATCTTCAAAAAGTACTTGTACAGTTATGCATTGAACAAGGAAAGAACAGAGGCCATTGTTTAGCCAGATATTCCTACTATTTCAAAGAAAAGAAATGCGCAGGACATGAATGGTTCAATCGTGTGTATTAAGGGTTAACGTAATTAATTTTTAATTCGTGAAATCAATTCTTTCAATTTCATTAAACAGTGCAAGGACGATTTTTCAGCGAAAGAAAACAGAGCGGAGTAAACACTACTCTTAATCTGTTCCCCTCGTACGACTTTCTTTACGAAAACACAAGAAGATTGAAAACACCGATTGTGAAACAACTTGCAGTGGTATCGATCGAAAGACGATAGTAAAGTGTAAGCCGTGTAAGGGAAAGCCTAAAAAAAGAAGCGGATGATGAAAAAAAAACGCAGTAACAAAATACGTGCATCGAA